AGCTCGATTTCACTCTTTTAGACACGCCTTTTAGATAGCCCAAAAATCGCCTTTTGGGGCTGTTTGTACAACAGTTGTATTTTCATAACGAATGAACGTTCAGAGCCAAGACACCTTTCATTTTGTAGAGAAATGTTTGATCTACTCAATTATCTAGTTGCCATTTTAGAGTAGTTTGTAGCTTTATTGCAATAACTTTTTGAACATTCCCTTTAACATCGAAAATTTTGGTATTTCAGATTTCAACGAAAGATACATCATTCGACGCAGAATTTCGCGCTGATTACGAATCTCATCACTGGCGCCCAAAGTCGACGTATTGGCGGTTTCTATTATACGGATTTTGCCCTAACATATATACGGATTTTCAGCTTTTAACCATGTTCGACAACTTTTCTTCCGGTTTTGAAGTCATATCTGGAAAGAGCGTAAAAGACTGAGCCAAAATTGATAAATTAAGTCATTTCAATGGTCAAAATATAGTTAAAAACATTTCATCTTCATCCCATCCCATATCACTTGGAAACCTATTATCATCCACAAGCATCGATGTTACATTGAGTCAGAGAAATGTTCATTTAAATCGTGATATTATTCTTGATATTCAAGTTGAACCAGAAATAATGACACATGTGTTAGTTGAACAAGATGCGACAATGATTTCGTTTGTGCCCACCAATGAATTGTGTCTGCAAAAAGACCAAGAAAATGTGAATAATGAATATGTGTTTATCATCGATTGCAGTGGATCAATGGCTGAAGAGTCAAAAATCGGTTATGCGAGACAAGCAATGCTTGTGTTTCTTAAAGCTATTCCGGTTCAATCATCGTTCAACGTTATCCGATTTGGTTCATCGTACGAAATATTATTTAAGAACGACACAGTTGTTGAATACAATGAACAGAACGAAAGGACAGCAACACACTATATTGAAAACATGCAAGCAGATCTCGGTGGAACCGAATTGTATGAACCACTGAAATGGATCATGGAACATCCCCCAAAAACGAATCATTCAAGGCAAATATTCCTGTTGTCCGATGGAGAAATAACTGACGTGCACACCGTTTTGGATTTATGCAAACAAACGTCACTCACCACACGAATCTTTTCGTTTGGTCTCGGTTCATCACCATCGCGTGCCCTTATCAAAGGTCTTGCTCGATCAACAAACGGTTCCTATGTATTCATTCCACCTAATACACACGTTGATATAGCCGTAGCAAAACAAATGTCAAAAGCTCTTGCGCCGAGTCTCATTCAGACAAAGATCAAATGTAATCTTGGCGAATATGTAATATCACCAAGAAAAATACCACCAATATATGCAAATCAACGTCTCAATATTTATTTACTCATGAAAACGCCAATAACCACAGAGTTAAATGGAACATTCGAATTTTATTCCAATAACGTATGTGTGAATTTTACTATTGTTTTCTTCTCTCCTGATTAACTTCTGTTACTTCTTTTTAGGATGTTTTGATTGAGCGAATTGACTTCAACAATGTTAAACCATTGAATAGCTCCCAAAGGTCTTTTTCTTGAATGACGTGAAAGACAAAAGATGGAACAGCTACTCTTTTCGATGTGTACTCGAGTGACACAAATTCCATTGATTCAACATCACTCAAATCTTCGATCGAAAAAATCATTCTGTTGAGCGCCATTCTATTTAGTAGTTATCAGAGATGAACGGAGTGCGAGAAAAATTGCGAGGCTCATGAGGCGAGACGAGGGATGAGGCGACAGTTTGCGGGACGTACTTTGGCATGAAACTTTACAGACTGGTTGACACAATGCATATTTTTCAGCATTTTTTTCCTTATGTCATGTTCAATGTCGAATTGGATTTTATTTGTAACGCACAAGAAAGTGCTTCCAGTACCAACTGTAGCTTTTCTTGTACGCAAATTACGTGAATATCGATATTCACTCAAATTGGGACATAGACGTCCTTAATTTATGATATCAAACAGCGACTCGTTTGGCTGCAAAATCGCTTATTCACGATTACAATCATTCAGTTCAAGAATCGAAATCATTGCAAGCACGATTCAACGATTTATCAAAAGAAATCGAAACAGATAATAAAGCAAAACTTATAGCCATCTCACTGAAATACAATATCCTCTGTCCATACACTGCATTTGTCGGTATTGAAAAACGTTTAGCAAATGATAATTCATGTATACAACTACGAGAAGTACCCATTGAAATTGCCGATAATGAGGATGATAACAAACAGCGTGACAGGACATTGAAAAAACGTATTGCAATCAGTCACTTGGGATTTCTCAATGGCACTTTCTCAGCAAGTGGACACAGAGGGGGAAGCGGTGACCGAGGCGTTAGAACACTGGACAAATACCGAAAACAAAGTTGCTGCACATCGGCCTACAACAGACCTATGATAAATTCGCCAGAGCGAGACCTTCAAGAAGAGCATTACGTAATCAATCAGTTCAATAATCGAAACAAAGTCGCTCGTAGTAACAATGCAACCAGTCGTATTGGCTTTCTCAATGATACTTTGTCTGCAAGCGGATGCGGGGGTGGAATAGGTGGCCTAGGCGTTAGAACACGGGACAAGGAAATACAAAGTCTCTCCCCTCGTCTCGAGGATGAAGAAGACGATGACACACAAGAACACACAAGTTTCAGAAAGACTAGAAAAAGAGTGGAAACGGCACAATTGTATAAGCAACAACGTCGACTTTCTCGTTCTCATTCTCGATCGCGCTCTCGTTCTCGATCGCCTTCTCATTCTCGATCACGTTCTCGTTCACGTGGAGCTGTACAGAGAAAATACTCTGAAAGAAAACAAAATAACGATGGATATGAAGAGAATACTGTCCGTCGTTTAATCAAAATGCAACAGTTTGATGGCACATGGAATTTGAATAAAGAGCAGTTAAAAGAATTTCTAAATGTAAGTGATGATCAGTATCAACAGATCACAGCTTTGGAAGAAGATAGAGTCATTCTATCATCAATTATTATTTTTGTCATATTGAAAAAACTATATCAAAACGACGAACAGCTCTGGAAGCCAAGTGTTGATAAAACACATAAATATTTGTTGAAACATTACGGAAGTAAAGACAAACTGGATAAACTGATTGAAATTATCACAAATATCTTTTAGACAGAAGTTGTATTTTTACTATTAAATAATTTTAAATATAACTTACATATACTTCTAAATCAGCATGAAATAACTTGGGATTTTTTTGAATAAATAAAACAAAACTAAGTACACGGATCATAAGTGGCGGGACGATTTGGATCTAGGGTAGACTCAAAATTAATAGATAGGAAAAACGACATAGAAAAAGATTTTTTGTCAGCCTACAGGCTCCGCTGCCTATGATACGGATCTGTTAAAAAAAGCTACTTGTCCACAATGATGAAACTCTGAGCACTGATTCGAGGAAGCATTTTGATTAATACTTTAGCCCCCCCCTCACGGGTCACTGGAGTCGCCATTCGTAGAAACGTTGTTGATTTCTAGCGAAAGTTTGCTTCGTTCGCACCTTGAACTTCGACAGAGAAACAGAGAGTGTAGCAATAATCGGGACCGATAATCGTTTTGTCTTGTGTACTTGAGAAAAGGAGTTGTTGTAATTGTGTACTCCACATCATTAAAAGCAAATGACGGTAATACCAACACAACATCAATATTATCACATTTGTTCCCTTTCCAGTATGTTGGCAATCACAGCTATACTTTCCTTCTCAAGGTCAGTAATCAAGTTTTGTTTTATATGAAAATCCAATCGTTATAATCATATCATAAAATGCAATTAAGAAAGAGAAACAACAAAATTTTCAGTAGGAGTAGGCTGAGATTCGAGACTTTTGAAAACAAACTACAGTAGTTAAAACCAGTGATTAAACAATGCAAGCCTTTTACTCTCACCTGGGAGAATAGTAGGTTGAATTTACCTACTAACCTGATCAAGATTTCATGTGTATGTGTCACTTACCGTGATATCTGTTATGCACCTCTTATGTCCTGGTTTCTCCTCGAAAGATTGGATATCAAAATAGACATTTATGCACCATTCGATAGAGAATTGCAAGAGCTATATTTTGCACTATTTATATTCGAAAAACGAGAAATTTCGATTTTTCGCCAAATTTCCGCTTGGATGCCCGCTGTGCAAGGTGTACATGACTAGATTTGTATCCCCAAGCTTTATCAAATGTTTACGATAAAGTTAAATTTATGCTTCAAGCATGCTTCATGCTATCAAATGCTAGCATGCTTTGATGCTAGTTTATACTTTTTATTTTAAAATAAGAAAAAAAATAACCAGTAGTAATCACAAGCAAGTAGGAGACACCTATAATAGTAATCATTATTTCGTGTAGATAAAAAACAGAATATAAGCAACAGTAAGAGTATAAGAGAAACAGCAAAAATAGATCTTATGGTTTTTTAATCTTTTCTGATTAGCCTGTTTATTGATCAAAAAGGTTAAATAGAAGGCCACCTCAGAGGCAATTCTGTAAAATCCATATTAAAAGGCCATGGCCTTTTATTTTGTCTCATGATGTTTAGATTATTTTGTTTCGTTATTTTTTTATAAAGAGAAAATGTAAAGT